TCTAAAGGCTCATTTCTTCATATGTCTAGCAGTTGATACTGGCTACCTCCCGGGATCCTCAGCTCTTTTCCACGTGACCCTCTCCATGTGACCTAGGCTTCCAGCATGGAAGCTGCATTCCCAGAGTGAGTGTCCCAAGACAGAGAGTCAGGTAGAGGCCATTATTGCCTTTTGTATCCTAAGCTCAGAAATTTTACAGCATCACTTCCATCGCATTCTGTTGGCCAGGGCAGTTTCAAAATTTTGCTTGGGTTCAAGAAGGAACCTAGGCCCCCACCTCTCAAGGGAAGAGTATCAGTGTCAGGTTGTAAGAAGTCCATGTGGGAGACACACTGATGCCACCATCTTTGGAAAGTACTGTCCACCATGATGGGCAAGGTAGGTTCGTTGATAAAGTAACATTTGAGCAAAGATTTTTTTTTTTTTTTTTTTTTTTTTTTGAGACAGAGTCTCACTCTGTCACCAGGCTGGAGTGCAATGGTGCAATCTTGGCTTACTGCAACCTCTGCCTTCCAGGTTCAAGCGATTCTCCTGCCTCAGCCTCCCGAGTAGGTGGGATTACAGGCGTGCGCCACCACACCTGGCTAATTTTTCTATTTTTAGTAGAGTTTCACCATATTGGCCAGGGTTTCACCATAGTGGCCAGGCTGGTCTTGGACTCCTGACCTTGTGATCTGCTTGCATCGGCCTCCCAAAGTGCTGGGATTACAGGTGTGAGCCACTGCGCCTGGCCTGAGCAAAGATTTAAAGGAGATGAGGGAGGGAGCCATATGCCTGTCTCCGTCTGGGCAGAGCACTCCAGGTTGAGGCAGCAGCCTGTGCAAAGGCCCTGAGACGGGTATTGGACCCAGAGTATTCGGAGTATGACTGAAGCAGAATAGTCAAAGAAGAGAGTGGTAGGAGAGGTGTCCTGAGGGGTATGGGGAGGGGCAGACAGCGTCAGGCCTGATGGGCCACAGCAAGCACTTTGGGTTTACTCCGAGTGATAGGAGAGTCAAATGCAGCGCCCTGAGCAGACTTAAATTCTAAAGAGGTACTCTGGCCCCTCTGTGAACAGGTAGGTGGGGAGCAGGTGCAGAGGATGGGGACAAGTTAGGAGACTTGCAGCAATCCAGCGAGAGAAGTCTGTGGCTCTGACCAAGCTGACCAAGCTGCTGGTAAAGGTGGCGAGAGGTAGCTGGATCGTGGATCTACTCTGAAGTTTTAACAACAAAACTTCCTGATGGATTAGACGTGTGAGAAGGGAGCGCAACCTCAGAGAAGTCATTGGAAGGATGGACCTGCCATTTTCTGATACAGGAAAGGCTGAATGCCTAACAGCTTTGCAGGAAAAAAATCAGGACCTTGGTTTTAGAGATGTTTATTAGATAAACAAGTGGAATTGTTAAGGAGGTAATTAGATACATAAATGTGGACTTTCAGAGAGGGATCTAAGCTGGAAATAAAATAAGAATTGATTAATCACAGACATTAAGGATGTTATTTAAATCATGATCCTGGAAGGAAGCACGGAGGGGTTGAGGGCAGCAGTGCAGAGGATGAGGACGGAGCCCTGAGCCCGTCAGTAAGAGGCTGGGTGGAAGAGGCGGAACCAGCAAAGGAGACTGGAAAGGAATGGGCAGGTGTCCTCGAAGCCTAGTAGAAGGGCATCACGGAGGAAGGGTGTACTCAGTGCTCTGGCAGGCCGAGACGGGGCTGAGAACCATTGCACTGAGCAGCCGTGGTTGTTATCGGTAACCCAGACGAGGGCGGTTTCCGATGAGCATGGGACACACGGATGAGGCAGTGACTCATGGATGACGGAAGGAGAAGGGCTGGAGAGCGCGAGCACAGAAAACACCTGCCCTGAGTTTTGCTGTCCAGATGGGCAAGGAAGTAGAATAGCAGCTGCTGGGGAAGAAGAATCAGGAGAAGGATTTGTGTTTTACTTTTTTTAAGATGAGAGAAATAACGACATGTCTGTGTGCCATTGGGAAGCAGAGTGAAAGTTTGGTTATAGGAGGCAGGCAGGAGGGCAGCCTTGGAGGGGTATCTCGGGGTGTGCTTTAATTTCAGGAATCCTCGCTTTCTCCTCAGCAGGGGATGTGTGGGGTGGACAGGGGTGGCAGAGATTAGAAAAAGGAAGAAGGCTTCAGGCTCCTGCCCGTTCTGAGCTGCCCTTCAGCGTCACTCCCTTCCTCCGTCTGTTTCTCCATGTAGAGTGGGATGCCAGCAGGAAGGGACTGGGAGCCGTAGCCGCCGCCTGGTCCCTTTTCCACTGTAAAAAGCAATCCTGAGTGTAGATGGATAAACACCGCCTTTGAGTTCCCAGCAGATCGCCATCCTCTTTCCTCTTCTAGCCCTCTGAGACACAGGCAGGCTGGCTGGAGAGCAGGGAGGGATGGCAGAGCAGAGGTGCGCGTAGGTGTCGAAGGCCATGTGATGCCCCGTGCCGATGACTGGCCTGGGCTGAGTCACTGTTCATTTAGGGAGAGAATCTCAAAAGGAAGGAAAGCTGCCAAGGGAAGCCTCAGACTGGTCACTGGATAATTCCATTCACCCTTAATTTTGGAAAGAAAGTGCCAGGAAGAGTAGCAGTGAAATAGAAAAGAAGGATTTCTAGTTGTTTCTTTTCACTGATTGAAAACAGAAAGCATCCAGTGCCTTCCCTTCACCGTCATCCTACGGTAGGGTGACGTAGGGCATCTTCTCATCAAAATTGGTAATTCCTCACTTAGCTCAGCCCTCTGTATTTCACTCTTGTGAAACAGATTTTCAGTTTTATGATGAGAAAATGCAAGCATTGAAATGGCAACACCATTTGCCATATTTGTGTGGTGGCAATTTTGTAACTCGGGATTTGGCAAAAGCATGGTACTTACTGATACAGAATCAAAACCAACTATCTCAGACCATGAAAAGAGACTGGGATGCAGGAGGGGCGGAGGTGCACACAGTGACGCTTTGGTCTTTCTGGCCTGCCTCTCCTGCGATGTGTTGTGCAGTGGTAAGAACACTGGATGACTTGTGAGGTTCTAATCAGTAGGATAAAGTCAGGGGTGTCCTTTCCTTTTAAGCAGCAGCTCACACGTTTCAAACATTTGATGAGGAAATTGGAATTCTTAGAACAAGAATATAGTGTGTAAACATCAAGAATTAATCCAGAAATGAGCGTATTACAGACTGTGAAATGCCTTTGTCTCACACGCCCCTTGCCCTGTTTTCTTCCTTTTTTCTGCAAAAAGATGATTATGTTTTGTTTTGCTTTTTCTTTTGAGACAAAGTATGCCTCTGTCGCCCAGGCCGGAGTGCAGTGGCACCATCTCAGCTCACTGTGACCTCTGCCTGCCAAGTTCAAGCAATTCTCCTGCCTCAGCTTCCCGAGTAGCTGCAATTATAGGCATGTACCACCACGCCTGGCTAATTTTTGTATCTTTAGTAGAGATGGGGTTTCCCCTTGTTGGCCATGCTGGTCTCGAACTGCTGACCTCATGTGATCCACCTGCCTCAGCCTCCCAAAGTGCTGGGATTACAGGTGTGAACCACCATGCTGGGCAAGATTATCATGGTTTTGTTTGTTTGTTTGTTTTTTGAGATGGAGTCTCGCTCCGTCACCCAGGCTGAAGTGCAGTGGCGCAATCTTGGCACACTGCAACCTCCACCTCCCTGGATAAAGCACTTCAGCCTCCCGAGTAGCTGGGCCTGCAGACACCTGCCATCGCGCCCAGCTCATTTTTGCATTTTTAATAGAGATAGGGTTTCACCTTGTTGGTCAGGCTGATCTGGAACTCCTGACCTCAGATGAGCTGCCTGCCTCCACCTCCCAAAGTGCTGGGATTACGGGTGTGAGCCACTGTGCCCGGCCAAGATGCTCATGTTTTCAGTGTTACAGGATACTTGAAATGATGGATGATGTCATGTGAACAGCGTGTGTTACTAATGATGCTGGTAGCCTTCCCTCCTGCCGTTCCATCTCCACCCTCTGTGCCCGTTCACGCCTTGACCCCCTTACTCTTTGCACTTGCCTGTGAATTGCGTTTTGTATTTAAAGACCTCTGTGCACAATATCCTGTTATCTACGTGGACAGCCCATGGTCTCAGCGCCCCGCACCGTGGCTGGAGTTCACCTTCTGATTTGCTCTTATATTTCTAAAACCAGTTTGATTTTCCCTGGGGAGCCGGGGCTTGCGTTTTCCTTCCAGTGCCCCGTGCATAACATGCCTTGACTGGCCTCCACATGGTTCTTCATCAGACTGGTTTGGATTTTACAAGGTGTCAGAGTTTTTTAATGAGCTCATGAGGTCTCTTGCACTTGAGTTTATGCCAGAGAAGCTGTGGAGTGATTAACTTAATGGGTGCTGTTTATCCCCACAGATGCCCAGCACTGTTCCTGCTGCAGCTGAATGTTGGTGGATAACAAACAATTCTTTGTAAATTGTGATTGCAGAATCCTGCCATTTTATGTTTTTGGTTTTTTTTTTTCTTTTGCTGTATAAATGATTGGGAAGCTCGTTAAGTTCACTCTGTTATAGTAAGGCACTGCTATAGAGGACACTGAGCATGAGGAGAGAAGAAATGATTAAGGCCTCAGTGGGAACTAGGGGTTTTTTAAGAGAAAGAAAATGGGTTGGGCATGGTGGCTTACGCTTGTAATCCCAGCGCTTTGGGAGGCCAAGGCAGGCAGATCACCTGAGGTTGAGAGTTCAAGACCAGCCTGACCAACATGGAGAAACCCCATCTCTACTGAAAATACAAAATTAGTTGGGCGTGGTGGTGCATGTCTATAATCCCAGCTACTCGGGAGACTGAGGCAGGAGAATCACTTGAACCTGGGAGGTGGAGGTTGCAGTGAGCTGAGATCCCGCCATTGCACTCCAGCCTGGGCAACAAGAGCGAAACTCAGTCTCAAAAAAAAAAAAAAAAAAAAAGGAAAGAAAGAAAAGGAAGTAACCCTGGCATACCTGCCTGATTATATAATAATTTTCCTCCTTACTGCTTCTTTTTTATGTTTTCGCCTCCAGAGCTGCCCAGAAGTTAAATCTGTCTTCTAAAAAGAAGAAGCACCGGCCTTCCGCTTCCTCTGCTGCTGAGCCCCCGCTCTTCGCCACCAGCTTCAGTGGGATTCTGCAAACCTCCCCTCCCCCAGCCCCGCCCTGTCTGCTGAGAGCTGTCAACAAGGTGAAGGACACCCCGGGCCTGGGCAAGGTAGGCACCATCCGCCGTCCCTGCCATTTGCCCAGGGTGCCAGGTTCTGGATCAGGTTTCAGAAAGAAGAAAATGAGGGCTCCGATGTGTTAAAATAAGACGGTGCCGGGGAGAAAAGGAAGCAACGTGAAATTCATTTGAAAGTCCTGTAAAATTGTCATTGGTTGCATACACTAAGCAGTAAACTAAGACATTCAAACTATAAGAGGCCTGATTTGCTTATGGTGGGAAAAAACAGCTGTGCTGTGTTTGACAGAGTCGTAGTCATTTAAAGAAAAGACACAAACGATGGAGGCAGAGGCAGGGGACCGAGGGACGCCGTAGCACCAGGCAGAGAAATGAGATGTCATGATGCCTCGTCATTTCCCTGGGACACTTTGGGTTTCTTCCTCGCCTTCAGAGAAGCCGTGACTCTGAGCTAGGCCACCACGGGGATTTGTGAGGAACGCTGGCCAGGAAGCGCAGTTTCAAATCGTCACAAATACTTAGAAAGAGCTGTAGAATCACGTTTGCAAGATGTTGCTCAGCTGCACTTGGGATAATGTATTTTTAAGTGTCATTTCTAAATTCTTTCTCCCTTCTGAGCGAAGCGTGTGGGTGAAGTCATTTACGGTGAATGAATAAGCTGGGACTTACACAAACATGGAGCTAAAGAAAGAGGCGGCGGGTTTTTAGATTTTTATCAAAAGTGTGAGTGGTGCACACGCTCTCACTGATCCTTTGCAGACTTCACGTGACTCCGACCCTGAGCTCTGTCTGTGAACTTGCCAGTCTTGCCGAAGGGAGCAACGACTAACCTGCGCAGATTGGGATTTTGCTTGTTCAGATCACTAACTGCCAGTCCCCTGGGTACCGAAACACGGCCGCGCCTGGGTTTCTGGTCCTCAGGAGGCCTCCCAGTCTCTCTGGAGTTTCCCCTTACGCCCTCTGCCCCTCTTCCGTTTTCTTTTCTCCTTTCCCAGCTTCTCACGTTAATCTCACCACCTTGTTGGAAAGGCATTAACTTCTTGTGGTTCTTTTCCCCAAGAAGAGTTTAAATTTCAAGATTGCATTGAATAGGCTGGACACAGTGGTCACACCTGTAATCCCAGGGCTTTGGGAGGCCACAGCAAGAGGAGCACTTGAGGCCAGGAGTTCGAGACTAGCCTGGGTAACATAGCAAGACCCTGTCTCTACAAAACAATTTAAAAGCCAGCCAGGCACAACGGCAGATGCCTGTAGTCCCAGCTACTCAGGAGGCTAGGGAGAGAGGAGCACTTGAGGCCAGGAGTTTGAGGCTGCAGTGAGCAATGATCGTGCCACTGCATTCCAGCCTGGGCCACAGAGTGTCTGTTTTTTAAAACATCGTACATTGAACACAGCAATGCTGCCTCTGATGGGAAGCGTCCAGCCCTGGAGTTTTCCATGGTGGTGGGCAGGGCAGACAGTTTACAGCTGACAGCTTTCCCAGGCCCAGCGGGTAAGTAAGACCAAGGAGTCAGGGCAGGGCCTGGGCTGTCTGCAGGGGCTGCCCTGGCATCAGTGGACATGGAGGCAGGTGAAAAACACAGTGTGGACCAGAACTCCTGTCTGGGAGAGGACTCACTCAGTGGGTGAAAGCCCCCAAGGAGGGGCCATGGTACCCCCCAGGGCACCCAGGTGTGATTGTGGATGGTTGATACACTGTCTTCTAAGAGGGCTGGGTCCAAGTAATTGCTGGGATCTTCTATTCTTTTTGAAATTTTAAATTTGTAATTGTGGTAAGATACAGATAACATAAGCCGTACCACTTGAACTGCTTGTAAGTGTACCTGGGCTCTTGGTTTGGAACTTCGGTGCCGGAGCTGAATGGCCCTGGACAAAGTGAAATGAAGCTGTCAGTGCGGCCACCTTCCTCTCTTGTGCTCTAAGCAACACCTCACTTCTCTTCTGAATAAGTGTGAGCAAATATTTCAGTGATGGCCCCTTGAAAAGGTGCCAGATTATTAGCAAACGTGGGGTACTCATGTACCCCAACAAAGCCCTGTCCAGGGCACCTCAAAATGAACCACATCAGAAACTGTCCCCCCACATCTACAGGACTGGCCCTGTCCGTGTTTCCTGAAAGGGTTGATGTGGATGCATGTTCTGGGGCCTGGGCCCCAAGCCCAAAGCTCTGACCTCTCCTCCACTGCCCCAGCACCCTCCCTGGAATTCTGAGACGAGGACATCAGGGTGCCAAGGCCAGGGACCACCGCAGCAGAAAGAGCGTCCCAGCCAGCAGGATGACCCAGCACTGACACAAAAACCGTTTGGAGGGCAAAGGACACCGGGCCGATCTTGATTTCATGATGTGCCGTATAGTGACCACATACACACGCACATCGCGAAATCAGGAACTTATGGTGAAGAGAGTTATGCTTGTTAGTTTAAGTTTGCAAACCACACATTTTTTATTTTAATTAAAGATATCCCTCTCATTCACTTGCAATCCAAAATGCAATCAAAGCCTTGAGTTCATCCACAGGACTGTGTCCTGGAGCGGGGCCTCGGCCTGCGGTCACAGAAGATAATAGAAGGTATGACTTCCATCTGACCGGTGGCCAGATGGCGGCAGCTGAGTCCAACCTCCTGTCCTGCTCAGGCTTCTGGAGGGTGAGGGACAGTGAGGGGGAGGAGGTGACATTTGGAGAGAATGTGTACCATGACTGAAACAGGAAGTGACCGAGACCCTGCCTCTTTCTGCACGGAGTGCTCCTGTGCTGTCAGCAGGCTCTGACTGCCCTACCATATGGGTGCCAAACTGCCGGGCCTTAGCTAAGGTCTGTCTTCTCCGACTCCTGCTTCTTCCACCTCCACTGATACCTCACCATCATTTAGAACAGCAGTTCTTTTTAGCCATGTAGAAAAATTTCCATCAATTTATCTCTGTTGCATAATTTATATTTTAATATCTCCAAGAAATACAGTGGAGTTTAATATAGAACATAAATAATTGGCGCTATATATAAATCGGTGGGTTTGAGGCAGACAAGTTTGATTGAATTCCCAAAAGCAAGCTGATTGATGATTTAAACCTGACCTGGAGCCTCCTAGAGTGGTGGCAGGGGAGCGGGAATCGCCACTGCTTGAGATGGCCCTGAAGGTGGGAGGCTTCTCCCAGCCCAGCCCCGCCTCTCCGGCCTCAGCCACCCACCGCCTCCCTCTGGAAACCTGGGAGGTCTTCCTCAATGGGAAGGGATTGTATGCGTTTATTCAGAGCAACTTCTTATTTAGCAAATAAGAAAACTGAGGCCCAGTGAGGGTCACAGTTTCCCAGTGACTCCAGAAGCCGGGCAAGAAGTCAGGGCCTTGAAGCCATTTCCCTCAGGCTGTCACGAGACAAACATGACCCTTGACGATTTGGGGTGGAGGCAAGAGTGTCCTAAAACCAGAACAGTAGCAAGACGCCGCTGGGAAGCAGTTGCCTTGATCCAGTGGGTGAAGACATACTTTTCCGAGCCAGGGTTGGGAGAGGACGGGGAATAACAGTCAAGAATACACAGACAGAGGGAGAAGGGAGGCTCGCCATCCCATCCCGTCCCTCCTTCCCGCCCCCCGCTGTTGCCAGCAGCAACCCCACTGCCCAGCCACCACCAGGGAGTCATTGCTGGCCATTGAGCGCTTCTTGAGGCAAAAGCCTTTCTAGAGGCCATGGTGATGGGAGAAATAGAGGTGACTTCCGCGTACTTAGAGCTGAAGCGTGCGCAAGCACACACACACACGCGCGCACACACGCACACACACACGCACACACACGCGCGCACACACGCACACACACACGCACACACACACGCGCGCACACGCGCGCACACACACGCACACACGCACACACACACACGCGCACACACACACGCACACACGCACACACACACGCGCAACACCTCAGGGCCCTCTGCCCCTACAGCATTTCCTCATACACAGCAAATACTTTTTTCTTTTTCTTTTTTTTGAGACAGTCTCCCTCTGTCGCCCAGGCTGGAGTGCAATAGCGCAATCTCAGCTCCCTGCAACCTCCGCCTCCCTGGTTCAAGCGATAGATATTCCTGCCTCAGCCTCCTGAGGTTAGCTGGGATGACAGGCATGCTGCCACCACACCTGGCTAATTTTTGTATTTTTAGTAGAGACAGAGTTTTACTATGTTGGCCAGGCTGGTCTTGAACTCCTGACTTCCAGTGATCCACCTACCTCAGCCTCCCAAAGTGCTAAGATTACAGGCATGAACCACTGTGCCTGGTTCACAGCAAATATTTATTAAGCGCCTACTATGTGTCAGGTAGTATGCTGAGCAGCAGGCTTAGGTTTGCAGTAATGGGCAAGGCAGAGTGCCTGTTCTTATGGCATTTATAGCTTAGTGCTTTATCCCAGTCACTCATAAATCTCACCAATCTGGGCCAATACGAAGGACAGTCAGGATTATAGGCTTAAAGTGATTCTGTCTCACTTGCAAGTTACATAGAGAAATTATGCTACTGAGTAGTCTTATATTCTTCACAAACAGATAAAGATGATTAGTGGATCAAAGCAGCTTACTCCCATGTATATTTCACTGCTTTGGCTTATATGTAAATGATGCTTCTAATGTGTTTGAAAACGGTTCCTTGTCTTAAGTCAGCAAACGTTCTTCACGAAATTTGTTTGCACAATTAATTAACATCCACGTTGAGGGTTCATTTGTTGGTATGTCACAGCTTAATGTCAGAGCTTTTTGTCTTGGATTACATGTTTCCAGAGCCAAGCATCCTTCTGTTTGATTTGCTACATATGTGGCTCTGCAGCCGCACCATGGAGGCATCGACATTTTAAAAAGTGAGAACGGTCACAGTGACAGTCACATGAGATTCATGACAGCCTGTAGGTTGGTTGGTTCTCCTCTTCCCAGAAGAATACCCGAAGGAAAATACATGAAGCAGGAAGGGAAAAGGAGCCGTCTCTCTCTTCATATCACCAGGGATGCCTCAAAAGAACAGCTGTGATCAGTGCCTACCCCTCTTCCCCCCAGT